CTCTGATGCTCCCCAGGATGAATGGTCTGTGTACTCTGACATCTCTGAGGCTGCGGATGCGTTGATCAATGGCACACCCACCTCTGGGCTGCGCTTTGTGCGCGCTACTGGTAACTCTCTTGCTGTTGAGGTTCAGGCTGAACTGGGTATCTCTTTTCTGCAGTTCCTTTGGAGGATTTCGTATGGAAGGTACACCCGCTGCATCACTGCTCCAGAGGAAGGCCTGTCGGGTGCTTCTCTCCCCCTGAATCCTCTCGCTGTTTTTATCAATGTGACTGCTGCTGTTGTGGAGGGTGTGCGCTATCTGAATACGCTGGTCCGCCCTTGGACTGACCCGTTGCCTCCTCTCCCGGTTGATATCATTATTCCCTCGGAGATTTGGGCTGCTTATGCCACAACTATCACTTTGGCTGTCCCCGCTGGGTTGATTGGTGGGGGAACCTCCCTGGTGCAGAGCCTGACAATCACAAGGATGGACCCTGACACTCAAGCTGGGGCAGGTGGTGCTGTTGACATCTCTGAAACCTCGACAATTGCCAATGCCAAGCCACTGAACAAGCACCTCCAGAGGATGATCCTTGCGGAGAAGATGCCAATAGATACAACTTGTTTGAGGCGCAGCACCAGGGCAACAAGATACAATGGTTTCAAGATAAATCTTCTCGGTGACGCCAAAAAGCCACAGTCCAAGGTCAAGCCCAGGGGAGCCCCAATGGTTGCCTGTTCATCCAAGGCGACAGATCCCTGCCCAAAGCCACATCTGCAGCCTGCCGCGGGTCTGTCGGACGTTCTGCCCCCGCCAACTCCGATTCAACAGCTGCAGCGTGTGGGCATAGAGCAATGTGGGATACCTGCAGAAGAACTCAGCGCTCAGAAGCTCCTGGCTGGAGATGGGGGTGACGACTCAGCTCTGAACTAAACTGCGATGACGGCTAATAAACACTGGAATGTTCTCTGCTGGAACATTCGTGGAATCAACTCTGAAAAAAAGCAGTTAGCGATTCGTAACGCGATCGAGATTAGTGGTTGTTCAGTAGTTTGCTTTCAAGAAACCAAGCGTGAATCTTTTGATGCGTCTTTTGTTAAACTATTCTGCCCTAAGAAGTTTGATATGTTTGAATTTGTGCCGTCGGTGGGTAATTCTGGGGGTCTGTTAACAGCGTGGATGAGTTCAGTGTTCACGGGTGTATCTGTCTTCTCGGAATCTTTTGCACTTGGCGTTAGACTTACCTCCACTCAGTCTAGTGATGTGTGGACGCTCGTTAACGTTTACGGCCCTTGTTTTGATCCCAATAGAGCACTGTTTACCGCATGGCTCTTTGATCTCCAAATCCCTATTGGGGAAGATTGGCTTGTCTTAGGTGACTTCAACTATATCAGAGCGCCCGATAATCGTAACCGTGGGGGCGGTGATGCTAACGATATGCTAATATTCAACGAATTCATACGAAAGCAGTCGCTGGTGGAACTACCAATCAAAGGACGATCGTTCACTTGGAGTAATATGCAAACTAACCCACTGCTCGAACAGTTAGATTGGCATTTTACCTCTGTTAACTGGGCTGTCAAATTTCCGAACACTGTGGTCATGCCTTTGGGGAAACCCACTTCGGATCATGTGTCGTGCTACGTCAGCATCCAATCCAAAATCCCAAAAACCAAATTATTCCGGTTCGAGGATTACTGGATCAAGCAGCCAGGCTTCTTTGATGTGGTTCAGCGATCGTGGAATAAAAAATGCTACGCCCCAAACACAGCTATGGTTTTGTGCAAAAAACTCAAAACACTTCGGTATGATCTAAAGCAGTGGAGCAAGAGAATCTCGAAGCTGTCTGTGCTGATAGAGAACTGTAACAATGTCCTCTTGGAGATTGATGGCCTTGAGGATCGGCGGCGTTTGTCTGTCCCTGAAGCAAACTTCAGAAAAATCCTCAAAGCTCATCTCTTGCATTTACTGGAATGCAAAAAAGCATATTGGAAGAAGCGGTGTACCGTCAGACAATTCAAGTTTGGAGATGGCAACACCAAATTCTTCCATAGAGTTGCGACCGAGCGCTTCCGCCGAAACAATATTGCCTCTCTGCGCCTGCCGGATGACACTGTTGTTCATGATCATGTGGGCAAAGAGGCTGTTCTTCTCCAAACTTACAAAGAAAGGTTGGGGTGCTCTAGCCCTACCAACATGAAGTTTGATCTGAATCGCATCATCAAGAAAGTGGATGGACTGCAGGTTTTATCTGAGCCCTTTACTAGGGAGGAGATTGATCAAGTGGTCAAGGAGATGCCGTCAGATCGAGCCCCTGGACCGGATGGTTTCAGTGGCAGCTTCATTAAGGCCTGCTGGCATATCATTAAGGAGGAGTTCTATAGACTTTGCTTTGATTTTCATGCAGGTACATTAGACCTGGAAAGTTTGAACTCTGGTTATATTACCCTCATCCCGAAGACGCAGTTGCCGGAGACAGCGGATGACTACCGCACTATAACACTTTTAAACTGTTGTCTAAAGCTGTTGACTAAGCTCCTGGCCAATCGGCTGCAAAAAGTGGTACTTAAGGTTATCCACCGTAACCAGTACGGATTCCTGAGAGGCAGGTCAATCCAAGATTGTGTGGCGTGGGCTTATGAATTCATACACCAGTGCCAAAATTCAAATCGCGAGATTGCCATCCTCAAGCTTGACTTTGCGAAAGCCTTCGATACGATTGAACATGCTCCAATGATACAGATTATGGAATGCATGGGTTTTGACGCCCGTTGGCTTGGGTGGATCCGCTGTTTATTCTCCACCGCCAAATCCTCCGTGCTGCTTAACGGGACCCCTGGTAGGCAGTTCTTCTGCAAGAGAGGCGTACGTCAAGGCGATCCGCTGTCCCCGCTCATCTTCGTCTTGGCGGCTGATCTTCTCCAAGCGGCCATCAATGACGCTTATCGCAGCGGGCAGATTCGGTTGCCGTTGCCGACTGTTGAGGATGATTATCCCGTGATCCAGTATGCGGATGACACTATTCTGGTGATGCCAGCAGATCAGGTGCAAGCGGGAGCGATCAAGTCCATTCTGCAAGATTATGCTTCCTCCATAGGGCTGCGCATCAACTTTCAGAAATCGACGCTGATGACTGTTAATACGGCGGATGATGTAATGGACCGGTTGGCAGAGGTTTTTGGCTGCAAAGTTGGTAAGATGCCGTTCACGTACCTTGGCATGCCGATGGGTACGGCCAGGCCGACGGTGGCTGACCTAATGCCGCTGGTTACATCAGTCGAACGCAGACTATCCACTGCCGCCTCGCTTCTGGACCTGGGGTCAAAACTAACGCTGGTCAACTCGGTGATCACATCCCTGGCGATCTACGCTATGTGCTCCATCAAGCTGCCCCCGAAGATCTTGGAACATCTCGATAAGCTTAGGCGCTATTGTCTCTGGGCGAAGAACACAGAAGATGGCCACAAAGCAATGTCCTTGGCGGCGTGGGGCCTGGTCTGTCGCCCCAAAGAGAAAGGGGGGCTGGGGATCATCGACCTTCAGACTCAGAATCAAGCCCTGCTGATTAAGCAGCTGCACAAATTTTACAACCGCCGTGACGTGCCGTGGGTTAACCTGGTTTGGTCTACGTACTATGAGGGGTTGGTGCCGCACGCAACTGAACCATGCAGATCGTTCTGGTGGCGTGACATCCTCCAACTTACTCCAGCTTACAGGGGGGTCACAACGGTGGAGGTGGGGGACGGGAGCACGGTTCTCTTTTGGAAAGACTTGTGGCATGATCGGATAATCTGCGATAGCCACCTCCGGCTGTTCTCCTTCGCAGCTCACGAAGATGTCTCGGTTCAAGCCTTGCTAACTGCGCCGACTCTCGGACAAAACTTCCAACTACCACTCTCCCCACAGGCCAGCGACGAGCTGCGAGACCTTCAAGGCGATCTTGCCTCAACGGAATTGAGCGAGACTGCAGACGTTTGGAGATGTGTTTGGGGATCGGGAGAGTTTGCCTCCAACAAATTCTATGAGCATTGCTTCCGTGAGGTGGTGGCTGACGATGCGTTCAGATGGATCTGGAAATCAAAATGCACTAATAAGTGGAGGGTTTTTGCATGGCTGCTCCTAGCGGACAGGTTAAACACCAGGAACATGCTAAAAAGGAGAGGTATGAAGCTGCGGGATGACATATATACTTGCCTCTTCTGTGACAATCCGCCTGAAGAGACGGTGGAACATCTCTTCTTCGATTGTGCCTTCAGTAAGATTTGCTGGAGAAAGCTGGGGATCGAATGGACACATGGTAGGAACAGACTCCAGCATGTGCATGAGGCAAGGGGCAGATGGTCAGGGCCCATGTTTATGGAAGTCTTTGTTATTGCGGCTTGGAGCATGTGGAAGGAGCGTAATAACAAGCACTTTCGAGGTGTGCTGCCTACGGTTGATGGTTGGCTCTTAAGATTCAAAAATGACTTTGGTATGATGAGACATAGAGTCAAGGGGGCCTTGGTGCCATTTGTGGACAGTTTTGTTGCTTCCATCTAGCTTGAGAAAAGTTTTCCCTTTTTCATCTTTCTGTACTCTACACACACTTCTCCCTCTGGTGGAATTCCCTGCCACCACCATGTAACCCCAGAGTGGATGTAGATTGTAAGTTGTGTTGGTGAAGTAATATAAAGTCAGTGGGGGGCTGCCCTCACTGTCCTAATCTTTCAAAAAAAAAAAAAAAGCAGTCTGCATGCATCATTCTATTGTTCACACCCCAGCCTTACGAATCCAGCTTAGTAGTTCTATACTGCCATCCGGACCACAGTATTTCTGTCAAACTTTAAGGGTGGTTCACTGATTGCCCATTAGCCAATACAAGCTCTCAAATAAATATTTCAGCAACAGCATTGTGCAAATGTCTGGTACTGGGAAGTTTACTTGCTGGCTTGTACAAAACCATTAGGTTCCTACAGAAACTAGACGTTTATATATCTCAAAATAGATAAACTGGAATACCTTGGGTGGTGATGATTTACGCAAGTCGAAATTTATTTGCAACTGTGCTTATCCAAACCATATCTTTCTCACTGTATGCATACTTTGCATTGGAGGCCAACAGGACGACACCTTCAGCTTTTGATTCACCGTTAGCTGGATCAGGGTTGCTCAAAATTGGTTGTGCCAACACAGAAAGAATTCCTTGTGGTAGAATATTCCCAAGCTGAGTGTCTGATGAAACCAGCACGGTTGGTCTATATAAGACACATATAATTGAAAAATATGAAACAAGGAGAAAAGCAGTGAGACAGATATTTTATAAGCATCTAAAATCACAAAGGAAAACAAAAACACAATTTTCACCAGTCAACTAGACATCCGGTAGTCCTATTCCTAAGCTAGCATAATACAAATAACCTCACATATACAAAAGCACTCAAACCAATTGTTATAAAAGTTGCCAAGAATTTCAGTGCAATTATTGATCGAAGGCAAGAGACAAGAGGGTATGGTGCTTCATCTGAACTATAATAACTCTACAAATACACATCTTTGATGCTTGATACAAGCAAAAGGTCGCCTAGAATGACCCCTGCAATCAATGAGGGCAAGAAAATAATATTGATTGGATAGCTAAACCAAAACCTTTAGCACAAACTTAGAAGAAACATGCTCTTGTAGGCAGGAGAGAATGATGCACTTACCAGAAAAATTAGGAATGTACAAAGCACTGCTCAAATTGTCAAGTCCAGCTTGTTCCATCTGACTCTTGAACCAATCAATCATTGCATATTTGGAAATATCTGCAGGAGGATCCCAGTATCCTCGGATGCACAACACATTGTCAATTGCTATGAGCTGGCACAAAGCAAAAAACCAAGGTGAGACATCTAACCAGTAGCAGATCATGCTACACATTATCACACAATTGACAATTGCATAACAACCAAACATTGTTACCCATGCAATTGCTTCATAATGCATATCTTTAACTGCTAGATAGTACCTTACATTATCCACTATTCATACACAAATAAAAGATCCTGTAAAAAAATACACCAAGAAAAGAAGCAACCTCAACCAAAAAGTACATGACTTCCTAGAGTGCATGCAGTTAATCCTGTCTGGATTTAACTGCTAGTAAATAAAAACACAATTAGATTAGTAAGGTGAACATAATGTCAATATATTTCTCGTTGAGATTAATTTCATAGTATAAAATTTCATAATTCCATTGACATATCGTGCATACAAAGAGAAACGGTCAAAGATACATGTTGGATACCATGTCAGTGTCTAAGACCATCTATTTCTGAACGGACAGGGTACTAAACATACGCCAGAAAGAAGCAAACTCAACCAAACACTACATTGCAACAGTCCTAGTGATGTCTACAGTAACTCGATTTTTTTCCTCTGCAGTTACTATTTGCCGGCAAGCTAGGATAACATGGCTTAAGGTTGACAAAAAAAAATAAGGCATGAGACTATCAAAGCCACAAAGATAAAAATTCTAAATATTTAAGTTTGTCTACAACAGCTTGAATCTGAAGCATAAGTACCCGGAAAAAACCTGCCTGCTTAAGGCATCTCGGTCGGCTCCCACCGAGAATTCAATACTGGTTCAAGTCTATATGGCTGGGAAACACCTAAAAGAACATACCACTGATGTGGTGTTTGTGTTCTGCAGCAGAACATATGTCGCCCAGGCCATATCCTCTTTCTGCGCCGTTGACAGATCATCAGGAATCACAAACACCTGCCTGCTTCCTTCAGGCAACGGCACACGGCTGGAAGCACCAGCACCCTACAGCAATCAAATTCCCAAGTCATACTCACTTCCCGGCATTCACCGTGCGAACCCAATGTACCATTCGTGCCAACACATTGACGCATCTCACCTCTAGGAAGCGCCCGAGGTACGGCAGCGCCGCTGAGAACGCGGCCAGGCACAGCCCCAGAGCCTCCGACCTCTGCGATTTCGCGTAACCGGTTAGTCAGGCATGTGAGTTATGGCTGGGCATTATCAGGGTGAAGTTGCAGAGGTAACAGACGAGCTGCGCGGGGGTTGGGGACGGCGAGAGGAGGTGGTTGAGGAGGACGAGGGCGCCGAAGCCGAGGCCTATCCACCGCGGGAGGTACGACTCGTCCAGCCCGGGGATCCCTGCGATAGTGCAGCGCCGCGTGTGAGATAACGGAAAACGCGCCATTCGAGTGGTTCAGAGCGACCAGCTCGGCGGCGGATGGAGGCCGGGCGGCGGGGGAGGAGGGTACCGAGGGTGAAGCGGAGGACGGAGAGGTTGACCTGCTGCGGAGGGTCGGAGTTGGAGGCGCGCACGCGCACGCGGGCGGAGAGGGGACGGCGGCGGGGTGTGGTTGCGAGTTGCCGGACGAAGAAAGCTTGCGCGGTGGTGGGGGGAGGCTGTAGGTGGAGAAGAAGCGGTGGTGCACGGACAAGGAGAGCCATGGCGGATGGGTGGAGGCAGGTCGCAGCGGCTGCGCTATGCAAGTCCTGGGCTCTGCGCACCCTCAAGTTACAGGCTCCGAATGTCGCAAATTGTGGCCTACAGGTACAACAAGTCCAAAGGGCCGAAGCCCCCCAATGCGGCAATGCCACGAGGCCTGCTGTTAGGGCGCTGGGTTTAGCCCAACTAATCAACTGTTAACAACTAGGGGCCTCCACAAGGGTCACTTATTTAGTCTTAGAGTGCATCAAACAAAGAAAAATCTTCGAATTCAAGAACGACTACCGATTACTAAACTTTGATTTTGTCTTTTTGTTATAAAAATCTAATAATTCTTTATTAAACTTTAAAAAATAGTGTGTCCAGCCATCGTCACATGTCATATGTTGGACGCTCCTTCTGAATTTTGATTTTGATTTTATTTTTATTTTTCCCTATGTATTTTGGGGTTTTAGATGAGGTTTTTTCATGTTTTTTGGATTTTTGCCTGGTTTTTCTAGGGTTTCGAGAAAAAAATAGTTTAAAATTATCATTTTTGTGAACCATAGCCATGTTTAGAAAAATAAATAAATGTGTGCTTCTACGAGAACAAACGTGTTTCTGGTGAAGCACAGATTTGCTTTCATGAAAATATAGACTGTGAATCCACGAGAAGCATATATGTGCTTCCACGAAAAGCATGGATGCGCTTCTACGAGAGAGAAAAAATATTTTTTTCGAGAGAAGCATAACATGTGCTTCCGTTGATTCCACGAGATGCACAAATGTCCTTCTATGAGAACCACAGATGCACTTTCAAGAGAAGCACAACCTTGAACTCTACAAGAAATGTCTTTCCCATAGTCCTTCCAAAACAAAAGTGAAAACCGCAACCATACTACTGGGTTTAAGTTTTTTGGGGTATTAATTTTTTTTCTTTTGTTGGATTTATAGTTCATTTTTAATTTATTTTCCGATTCTTGATGTCTACTACGCGACTTTATTCTGGTAGACGTTATTGGGCCTTCAAGTGCAGAGTATTGTAGGACAGTAACAAATTTTCCTCAAGTGGATGACCTAAGGATTATCAATCCGTGGGAGGCGTAGGATGAAGACGGTCTCTCTCAAACAACCCTGCAACCAAATAACAAAGAGTCTCTTGTGTCCCCAACACACCTAATACATTGGTATATTGTATAGGTGCACTAGTTTGACAAAGAGATGGTGATACAAGTGTAATATGGATGGTAAATATAGGTTTTTGTAATCTGGAAATATAAAAACAGCAAGGTAGCAAGTAACAAAAGTGAGCGAAAACGGTATTGCAATGCTTGAAAACAAGGCCTAGGGTTCATACTTTCACTAGTGCAAGTTCTCTCAACAATAATAACATGATTAGATCATATAACAATCCCCCAACGTGCAACAAAGAGTCACTCTAAAGTCACTAATAGCGAAGAATAAACAAAAAGATTATTGTAGGGTATGAAACCACCTCAAAGTTATTCTTTCTGATCGATCTATTGGGCTATTCCTATAAGTGTCACAAACAGCCCTAGAATCCATACTAAAATAACACCTTAAGTCACACATCAACCAAAACCCTAATGTCATCTAGATACTCCAATGACACCACAAGTATCTGCGGGTTTGATTATACGATATGCATCACATAATCTCAGATTCATCTATTCAAACCAACACAAAGAACTTCAAAGAGTGCCCCAAAGTTTCTATCGGAAAGTCAAAACGAAAACGTGTGCCAACCCCTATGCATAAGTTGACAAGGTTACAGAACCCGCAAGTTGATCACCAAAACATACATCAAGTAGATCACGTGAATATCCCATTATCACCACAGATAAGCACATGCAAGACATACATCAAGTGTTCTCAAATCCTTAAAGACTCAATCCGATAAGATAACTTCAAAGGGAAAACTCAATCCATTACAAGAAGGTAGAGGGGGAGAAGCATCATAAGATCCAACTATAATAGCAAAGCTCGCGGTACATCAAGATCGTGCCAAATCAAGAACACGAGAGAGAGAGAGAGAGAGAGATTAAACACAAATCTAGGTTTATTTCTGGGGGTTTCTGTATTTATAGGAATTTTTAGCGTTGAGAACAAGTCAGGGGGGTCCACGAGTCAACGACAAGGACCGAGGACGCACCCCAGGGGGTAGGGCGCGCCCTCAAACCTTGTGGTTGGCTCAGGACTCTTCTGGCCCAACTCTTTTGCTTCGGGGGCTTCTTCTGGTCCATAAAAAATCACCGTAAATTTTCAGCTCGTTTGGACTCCGCTTGATATTGCTTTTCTGCGAAACTTAAAAACAAGAGAAAAAAACAGAAACTGGCACTGGGCTCTAGGTTAATAGGTTAGTCCCATAAATCATATAAAATAACATATAAATGCATATAAAACATCCAAGATAGATAATATAATAGCATGGAACAATAAAAAATTATAGATACGTTGGAGACGTATCAAGCATCCCCAAGCTCTGCTCGTCCTCGAGTAGGTAAATGATAAAAAAAGAATTTTTGATATGGAATGCTAGCAAGTGCACAAGTTTGATCAATGATAATTTCAAGCATTTTTTCTAGCATCATTATATATCATAACAGTAGCTCATATGATAAAGCTTCTCATGGTCAAGTAACAAGTTATTCACATGTTAAAGTATAGATCATAATCTTTATCAAAAACTAACAAACTATGTTCTCAATCATCAAACAATTGCAATTCATCTTATTTCCAGGAAGAGTTTATGTAAGAGCTTTGATTTAGCAAATCCCACATACTCAACTATCATATAGTCTTCCATGATTGCTACCACTCAAAGCATATTTTTAGAACAAATAGCATCCATCAAACACAGAGAAAGATAGGGGCTTAATGTTTCGCCTCCCAACTTATTTATCATATAGATAATTGTCAGCAATAATAATTCATGATCAAATATATTTGAATGGCCATATATGCTTAGATCTTTCCACACCACATGATGCTTGCCAGCTAAAGAGTAGGTTGGAATGAGAAGGAATACTACTGACTCTTGCATAAAAGCCCTGTTCAAGAATTCATCCGATTAACCAGTTAACTTGCCGATTAATCCCTACTCATAGGGTCCCCGAGTAGCCGATTACCCGATAAGTCGTCCGATTAATTGATTAAATGAGCGATTAACTTGCCGATTAGCCTATTAATCCCCTACTCACCAGCCGACCGAGCAGCTACCAGTTAACGATTTCCTCAACGATGCATAAAAGTAAAAGATAGTCCCTTCACAGAGGGAAGCAGGGATTTGCAGAGGTGCCAGAGCTCGAAGCTTTTAAAACAGAGATGAAAATAATTTTGAGAGGTATGATTTCATTGTCAACATAACAACCAAGAGTTACCAATATCTTCCATACTGGATACATTATAGGCATTCCCAAACAGAAAGGTAAAGATTTTACTCCCCCTCCACCAACAATCACATTCCACGGCTGGTCTGAAACAACGGGTACCGTCCAACTATCAACAATCCTGGGGGAGTTTTGTTTAATTTATTTGTGATTTTGATTTGAGCATGGAACTGGGCATCTCAGTTACCAACCATTTTCTCGTGAATGGTGAGTGGAGTCCACTCATTGTGAGAATAACCCACCTAGCATGCTGACAGCCCCTAGTCGCTACATGAGCGATTTGGGCATACAGAACATATTACTATTTAAGGGTTTAGAGTTTGGCACATGCAAATTTACTTGGAACGGTAGGTAAATACGGCATATAGGTACATATGGAGGACACTCATGGAAGAAACTTGGTTCAAGGATTTTGGATGCACAAGTAGTGTTCCCGCTTAGTACAGAAATTTTGGCCAGCAAAAGATTCTAAATAGCAAGCACCACATGTTGGAGGATCCATAACAATATAACTTCTATACAAATATACCCAAGCATAACTCATTATGTTGTCTTCCTTGTCCAACTTCAACTAATTTGCTCAAGTTTGAAAATAATTAATGGGGCTCACAATCATAAAAGATGTCCAAGATGCCGGGGAACGTAGTAATCTCAAAATTTTCCTATGCACACGCAAGATCATGGTGATGCATAGCAACGAGAGGGAAGAGTGTTGTCTACGTACCCTCGTAAACCGTAAGTGGAAGCGTTATGACAACGCGGTTGATGTAGTTGTACGTCTTCACGATCGACCGATCCTAGCACCGAAGGTACAGCACCTCCGCGATCTGCACACGTTCGGCTCGGTGACGTCCCACGAACTCACGATCCAGTAGAGTGTCGGGGAAGAGCTTCGTCAGCACGACGGCGTGATGACGGTGATGATGATGCTACCGGAACAGGGCTTCGCCTAAGCACCGCTACGATATGATCGAGGTGGATTATGGTGGAGGGGGGCACCACACACGGCTAAGAGATCAATTATCAACTTGTCTATGGGGTGCCCCCTCCCCCGTATATAAAGGAATGGAGGAGGGGGAGGGGCGGCCTCCTTGGCGCGCCGCAAGGGGAATCCTACTCCCACCAGGAGTATGATTCCCCCCCTTCCCTAGTTGGATTAGGAGAGAAGGAAGGGGAAGGAAGGAGGAAGGAAAGGGGGCGGCCCCCCTCCCAATTCGGATTGGGCTTGGGGGCCCTCCTTTGCTCCCTTCTCCTCTCTCTCACTATGGCCCGATAAGGCCCATATACCTCCTGGGGGGTTCCGGTAACCTCCCGGTACATCGGTAAGTGCCCGATCTCACCCGGAACCATTCCGATGTCCAAATATAGCCGGCCAATATATTGATCTTTATGTCTCGACCATTTCGAGACTCCTCGTCATGTCCGTGATCATATCTGGGACTCTGAACTACCTTCGGTACATCAAAACACATAAACTCATAATACGATCGTCACCAAACGTTAAGCGTGCGGACCCTACGGATTCGAGAACTATGTATACATGACCGAGACACGTCTCCGGTCAATAACCAATAGCGGAACCTGGATGCTCATGTTGGTTCCCACATATTCTA